CGAGCTTTCGCGGAAATATATTTGAAGCAAAAAGCAAAATCCTGAATTCTTGAAGGAATCTGTCAAATCTATAATAATAGCTAGGATTTCTATCTAAGATCTAAGATAATCTATTTTTTTTAACTATATATAAATTATAATTTCTTTCTATTTTAGATTATCAAATGATCGAAATCTTTTGGGATATTTAAGATCTTCCAAATCCGAATTTCTCTTCTCATTTTTTCTTTCTTTGAATGAATAATTTATTTATAGTTCATTCAAATTAGAAAATATATCAGAATATATATCAGAAAATAAGAATTCCATATTTATAGGGAAATCGGATTTATTTCGAAGAATAACGATTCAAAAAGATAATAGAGATATTCTATTCAAATCATATCTCCAATCATATATAAATTTCAAATTTCAATAAATTCATCCAATTGATAACCATTTCATCGTCCATTCTTTCTATCAATGGGGAGTTCTTGCCACGAAATCCCTCTCCCCAAGAGAATCCTTGCCCCAAATTCTTTTGCTGGTTTGAGCTTGCCTCTCTCCCCGTGAGCAAAGGTGCGTCACCAAATGCCAATTCATTCAAAAAATTTCAAGAGATAATATAATATCAGAGATATACTAAATCTCATGCCATAGATAAAATCTGAAATAAAGCGAAATTGGAATTTTCAAAATAAAATATCATAAATAAACGTATACTAATTCTTTTAAATATTCATTTCTTTTATTTCATTTTATTAAGATTTGTATAATATATATATATATCTAAATTTTTGATATATTTAAAAATAATTTTCTATAGATATATATAATTCTTTAATAGATTTCATATCTATTAATTCTAATATTTTCATATTTCTCATATAGAAAATAGAAAACTTAAAGAATATTAATAATTCAAGCATCTATTAGATAATTGATATCTATCGAATGATTTCATAATTATCGAATTCTCGATTTTCCGTAGACCTCGCGTTTCATCATTAAGATCATTTCCTATTCAAATTTCATAAATTTCAAAATAGACTCTGAGATATCTACGATTTCCTTCTTTTCCGTCTGCCTCCTCTATAAATGATATCAAATATCCGAATATCTTGGGATGCCCAGGCCGGCAAAACCGCAATGCCTTCCCATCAACCATTCCACAAATCTCTATAACGTCTTAGCGCGCCACCGTAGAACATCCCGACAGTATTAAAGAGACGAAATATATTCTTGTAGCGCCGTAGAGTCTGATCCCGAATTCCTGAACTCTAAATAGTACTTTCCAGTCTCGTTTCCATTCTCCTATTATAATCTCCATATACCCACAATAATGAATTTCTTGAGGTCGACAATTCAAAATTACGCAATTTTTTGTGCTCTTTAAATCTCGGCCAGAGCCCCGAGAATGCTCTGGCCACGACGGCAAGTTGACTGATGCTGAGATCTTGCACCCTGCTTTGCAGAGCAACAACCAGCCCTGGAACAGGATACCCTTGAATATTCAGCATACCGCAAGTCCAAGCGAGCATGCACATGCTGGTAGCTGGAAAGGTTCGAAGATGATGCAACTCCAGGCGTGAGTTGGCCAGCAGAGGCAAAGCAGCATGGCGATGACCCAACACCGCCAGGGCCCACACAGCAGTGGACAGGCTCTGCTCATCCCATTCATTCAGAGCTTCCATTCTGCTAGCAATTCTGAGTACCAGCAAATGCGGATCCCCTTTCCAGCGACTCCGAGCCAAAGCCCACAGGGAGTTGGCACACTCCTGCGCCTTGGTTTCTCTGCCTTGCTCATGGAAGTACAGATGCAAGATGACAACTTCATACAACTTCCATAAGTGACCGCCCAGAGGCCGAGAAAAGGTGCACAGGAACTACATCAGGGTTCTGGGTGATCTGGTCAAACAGCATCACGGCGGAGGGTCCCAAATGGCTGGTGTTGGCCACGGCCCACAGGGAATTGGCAATGTCCTGCGTTGAGCTATGCTTTCAAATCACAGCGAAAAAAAATGGACAAGCAAGAATTGAGCAAACTGCATCCGTCGCATCCTGCCCGTTGCATTCGAAAATCTTCTTCAGGATTCTATCCAACAAAGCTTCCATGACGGCATGTTGGCCTGGCAGCATCCTCTACCACTGTGACACACGCATATACACGCAAGTTACGAGGAGATATGTGATGGGACAGCAGGTGCCTGTTGAAGAGGATTGCACCGGTCCGATGTCCTGGGTTTAGTTACAAATGTTCATGGAACTGCAATAAGATGATGTCGCAAGCTCACATATGTTGGCTTTAGGCACCTGGCAGACAACTCCTCAAAGCTCAGCATTTCTCCTGCTGCCTTCTCGTGATCGATCTTCGCCATGGTTGACAAGGACCAAAGAATGTTGGCAGCCCCCTGTGGAGTGAACTTGGAAGCAAGCGCGACGATCTGCGGCCCACAAGCGGTCGTCAGCGCAGCACTGGGCATGTCAACTCCCCGCGAGAGCAAAGTGGCTGTGCCCCAAAGCAGCATCGACAGGCCCTGCGGAGAGAATTCGGAGGAGCGTGCAGTTGCGTGGGCAGCCAGCTCCCAGATAAAACGCCTGCTTTTTTCTTCAAGGCTCCTCTGAGATGCCAAGACTGCTATGGCCCAGACCGAAGCTGCCATGTCGTGGTCACCAAAGCTGGGCAAAAACTGGGAAGAAACATGCTCTTTGGCTAGGTTCTCAAGAACGTCCAACCCCAGCTGTGAGTGGCTTGCCCGGCCAAATGCCCAAAGCAGTTGAGAAACGTCACGCGAGTTGCACAAGCCAGGAGAGTTTCCAACGGCACCAGCTGCAGCTTCAAAAAGCTTTGGAGCCGACAGCTTCGTGGACGCAGCGGCCCAGGACAGGTTTGCAAGATGGCGAATGGACAACAGGCCGTGTTCACTTTTGGGTATCAAAGCCATCTGAAGGACTTCTTCCAGAAACCTTTCTTTGCCTTTTGCATGCTTAGACTTTGCAATGGCAACAGCGATGACAGCCAGCTCCCTGTGCCCAAGAGTGACAAGGTGTGTTTCCGACATAGCCATCAGCAACTCCCAGCCTTGTCTCACGGCTTCGGTGTTTCCCCTCTTCTCGACCGCACTCATCCGTTGCACAGCTGCGGCCCACAAAACGCCATCGAGCCTGTTGGAATCTCGCGCGGTGCGCATCAGCCCTGCGATATCGGATGCTCGGTGACAACCATGTAGTCTGCTCGTCAACCTCTTGTGTTCGGGCTTTATGGGTGCAGTCATCACACAGGGCACCCTATCACCTGAAGCCTAAAGTCTGCATGTGCTGCATTGCCTCCTGCCTCGCAGATGCGGCTGAAGATTGCAAGTACCGCGTTGCACTCGAAGAACTGCGTGCCAGGAATGCTGACAAAGCAGACCCCTTTTTCATACCTTCACGGAACACGACATGGCTAGATGGATCAACAGCTACACTGCAGTGGGCCCTATCCACCTGCCAGTGCGACAAACGCAAATGCCTTCTGCGCTTCTTGCTGGGTGCATTCTGCCATCTGATCAGTTTCACACAGGTACAAAAACTGTGGGACTGCTGACAAAGCTCTCACTTTCAGCTGCCTGCGTGTGACATGCTGAATGATGCTCCAGGGTCGGAGAGGGTCACAATCCCCAAGTGTGGATCTTTGCACACCGAAACTCAGCGAAAATTGTCTCTTTGGACCTGGTTCATCACTATCTGGAAACATCGGCAGACTCAACTGTCGGCAGCGACACCGTCAGCTCGTCGCTTGAATTGCTTCGTCCTCAACTTTTCACAGCAGATAGCAGGCATAGAGGCATGCATCAGTTTCCTGCAACTATTGGCGTGAGCCTTGTAGCTTCAGTGCTCGTCTGACTCGAAAAGCATAGCCAGCGACTATGGCAATCGTCGTCGCGAGCAGTCGAAGCCAGGCCTGCCAGTGGCCTGAACCCGGATTCAACGTGGTATTGCGTTATATAGGGCTACCGGAGAATCAGATGGAAAAGAAATTGCGTAGTGAAATGGCAACTAGGTCGCTGTATAGTGCTACACGTTAGGTAAGGATTCTTTGGGTTTATGTAGGCACAAAATCAAGGTTCCATGTCATTTTCTGTGTTCTTGTCCATGTGATCTTCAATTACTGTACAACCCCAAATATCCCCCACATAACCCTGGTTTCCACAACCCTGCAGTACATGATACGGTAGTTTCCATGTTCTTTACCATTCTGCCTATAAAACCCGATGTAACCCTGGTATAAGATGTAACCCCACATAACCCTGGTTTCCATTTCATGGTCCGGCTGAATTTCCCTCATCCCTGAATACGCAATACCAAGGCCCTGGCATTGTGAAAGCATGTATCCGTTGATTGTCAGCCCAAGCAAAGGAAGTACAGGGCATCCAGGACAGGCAAACGTGCCAGGTCTGGAGTAGCTGTACTTGAAGAACGGAATCCAACATAAAACTACCTCGGCTTCATCACTGAGAACAGCAACAATAGTGCTAAGGCGTGTAACTCTTCAGCTCAGCTGCAGCAAGTGCGAAGACCAGCGTACCGCAGAGAGCCCACCAGCTCTGCCAACTGACACAAGGTGTTGTCACAGCTATCTGAAAACGTGGTGCCAAATCCCACACTCCTTGCCGCCCAAAGCACATGTACGTGGAGCTGGTTGAGGCCACGATCGCTGCACAGGTCCTAAACCATAGCGCATGCCGAAGGCCCTTCCGTGTTGCATTGAAAACATCCAAGCGTCATCGCGGCAGCCCACTGAGCAGCTCTTTCTGGTGAATCGGCTCGAAGCACCAGAACCCCGGCACAGACCTCTCCCAAGCAAGGATTCTGGAAAGGCTGCGGACTGGTCTCTGAATCAATGAGCCACACACAATTTAAAAGCGAGCCACAATGGTATAAGAGAAAAGCACTCCAATGTTCAGGAAAAGGACGAGGCCCTGCACCTAAATTGCCAGGCACATGAAGAGTGGGAAACTGCGAAGCGCAGGACACGGTATCCCATTGCATGAGAAGCTGTGTCCGGGTCCCTACATCATAATACCCTCAACATGTCTATATGGGGGGGGGGGTTATATAGGGGTTATGCAGGGATAAAGGAAAAGAAAATGGAAACTACTATTTAAGGTTTAGGTAGGGTTTTGGGACCGCCCTCATCCACCCTCAATGTTGACAACTCTCCACGTAAGACCGGCCAAGGCTCTGGGAGACAGGTTGCCAATACGGCTGCAATGGCTCCACAAAGGAGTTGAGCATTGACAGGCGTTCCAAAGCTAGACACACGGCCTTGGAAGTTCGGGCATTCCCATATTGCTATTTGCCATCTCCTAACAATAATAACGGTACAAGTTATGCAGACAAGCCACCGAATGGCTGGAAGAAGAGACCCTTGTCAAGTTACATGCCTCTGCATCCGTGACAGCTGGAAAAGTCTGGGCCAAGGCACGTCTCGAGCCATGGCGAGATACATTCGAGCCTGTCAAAGCAAAAAAAATCCCAAACTTGCTCACCAAAACGGATTCGCTGTCAGGATATACATTCCACGCCTGCGAATACATCCCAGTCACAAGAGTTGTGAAAAGGCCGATGACTGCGCCCCAGTTGACCAGCAAGGCAACCTAAGGTCAACGAAATCTGGCGAGACCTTGCTCAGGCACATGCAACTGATTTCGTGAAAAGTGCCCCACCCAGGGGATGTTGGCGTATTGCGGGCCAAAAGCTGCCTCTACCGGTGCCGCCTACCAGACACGCGTTCATTCAACAAGCAAATCCGTTCAGCAAGCTTGCCTCGTCTATCTCTGTGTACGGAATAATGCCCACCTGGATCCATTAACCAATTCACGCACAAAAATAATCAAATGAGTTTGTTTTCTGCTGCTTCTCAGCTGGCTCACAAACAGCTCCTGAGCCCAAGGCCAGCACAAGTGAAAAAAGTATGTACCTTCATTCACAGGCTTTATCCACTGCACATCTGGGCAGCCGTCCTATGGCAAGCTGCTGCCAAGGAACAACAGTGCACCTCACATGCACAACCCGCAAGACTGCAAGCCTGAAGTCATCCTGAAGGCAGGTTGGACTTGCCCCTTGCAGGCGAGCCGCAGATGAGAAGAGACACTGTAATGCCAATAGGCAAATCCCGCTGAGGATTTTGGCACTCTTCCGCAGCATTTGTCACGGTGCCAAATCCTTCTTGCAAAGATTTGGCAAGATGCGCTGCCTTTGCATCAATGAAAGTACAGAGGCTGGCATGGTCCCAGTCCTACGAAGGAAAAAGAACAGGTTGCGGACCTCATGGACAGCTTGCTTGCTTGCTTATTAAACGACAAGCACACACACACAGCCAATGCCGTCCATCAACAAACAACCCTTCACAAAAGGCCCGGCATGCTCCCTGGTGAAACGGACTTTCACACAACTCTCAAAGACTTGCTGGTGCTCATGAATCTTCCCTGCTCCTTTCACATGCCATTCTAGTTCGCCTTGGCTTCGGGCGGGTAGAACGGTAGAACGTGCAGACCCCCCCCCTCACCCCAAGTCCCACTCCAAACCCACCCCCTTCCAGCTCTTCCCCCTCGGCCAGCTCTGACAGGCGTCGCAACAGCCCCAAAAAGGCTGAAGGCTCTTTGTGGTTCGCTCGCTGCGGTCACATGTCTTGAGCCAGGAAGATTGAATGGACTTGCTGCAGGGGGCACTGTCCCATGCCGGCATTTGAAGCTGTTCGAGCTGCATTCTCGGGCTTGCAGGAGAATGTCTACCCCAGGGTTTTGCTTAGGCTTCTGATTTCTTGGTGTGCAGGATAAGGTTTCAAGATTAAAGAGTTTAGGAATGTAGTTGTTGAGGATTATGTCCTTGGACTACAGGCAAGAAGCAGAACTTCTTCACATGGCTGTGCGAGAATGCGCACAGGAGCGGAATTCACACGTCCAAAAAGTACAGCGAAAAGTGTGTCTGAAAAACGCCTCAGCCTATTTCAATGACAATTTTACTGGATCCCCAACAACGGGCCCTCACATTGATAAACCCTAACTTTCCTGACCCATCTGCTCCCAATATGTATGACCTATGACACTCACAACAAGGACTCAATGTTGTCCGAAATGCAAGTTTTTGAAGTAGCTCAGTAGCTGACATGCTGGCCACCGGCCCAAAGCCGCACCTGAAAGCCAGTGAGGTCTGCCATTGTTTTTTTTGCAGTCCCTCAGACTTTGACGTCTGCCAGACTCGACACGGGGTTCTTACCGCCAGCTCATTTGTTTCGGCATTAGGGTTTCAGGGTTTAGGGAATCGGGCTTAGGGTTGCAGATTACAGTTCAGGGCTTGCGACATTTGGGCTTGCAGTCTAGGGGTTTGGCTTTGTTCCGCGACTACAAGTGTGGTATGGGCACTTTAGGGCTTTGGGAGTCCGATTCTGACGATTCTGATTCTAAGATTAGTGCATGTAGGGTTATTATGGACCGCATTTGTTTGATGCAAGCCTGTTTGGGGTTAAGGGGCTTGGGCTCAGGGTTTCGTAAATGGAGCTTAGATCGTGGTATTCGGTCCAACATGTACGGATGAGGCAAAAGAGTTCACAATTTTTTTGGTAAGGCTTCGGGCTTGGATTTCAGACATAAATCGTTTGGGGTTTATGAGTTCAAGATTTCTGTAAAGTCAGGCTTTGGATTTAAGGATTCAGGTCGAAGCCGGCTAACGCATTCGAAACCACAAGACCTTTTTCTGCCTGCATTTGGATTTAGCTTTCAAGGACAGGGGCGTAGTGTCTGCGGCATTCTGACAAACCGTTACAACAGTGACGCGTCGGGAAAAAGAAGTCGGGCTGATCCTTTAGGATTTTGGGCTAAAAATTTGGGATTCTGATTTAAGGCTCAGGGCTTCAGGATTCGGGCATAGGGTCTAAGGACCATCGCTCGGCATTCAGCATTTCAGATTCGGCTTGAAGCGTTGAGGACCGCAGTCTGGCCCGGACTAAGGGAATGACATTTAAGTTTAGGGTTTCGGGATTCGAGTCTCAGGTTTCGAGATTCCGGCTCAGTGTTCACGTTCCGGGCGCAAGGATTCCTCTCTAAAATTCAGACATTCCGGCTTAGGATTCGGTCCTGGGGTCTAGAGATTTGTGCTCATGTCCAGGATGTGAAGCTTCGGGCTAAAGGTTTTTGGATGCAGGTCTCACATTTCGGGATGCCGGGGTCGAGTTGAGCGATTCAGGCTCACAGTTCGCGGGGTTTAAGGATTCGGGTTTTGGGTGCACGCGCGCGGATCTAGGGTATAAGGATTCGCGCTCAGTGTCCAGGACTCAAAAATTTGGATTTATGGCCCGGGATTTTTTGGGCGGCCCCTTTTTCCGCCTGCAGACAGTCAGAAAGTACCAGCGAGACGGATCATCACGCCGGGCACCTCCAGAGGCACGGAGACGCGGTACAGCTCCTGGCCGTCTCCAAGGGAAGCCATTTCCGGCAGACACACTCCGCTTCGTCCATCATGTACATAAAGGCTCGTGATGGTGTCCATGAAGTTCAAGAACGCGGGATTCGGGTTTTGGGTGTAGGGATTTGGGTCGAAGGTTTGCGGATGCGGTTTCGAAGTTCAATGTTCAAGCATTCGGGCTTAGGGATTCGGGTCTAAGTATTTTGGGTTTGGGCTCAAGGTCTAGGGTTCTAAGATTGGGGTTTAGGCTTAGGGCTCAGGAACTCAGATTTAGGGTTTAGGGAGTCCGGTCTAAGGCTTAAGGGTTGGTGTTCAGGGTTCAAGGCTTAATGATTCGGGCTTCGGGCTTCATGATTAAGTTCACACTTTTGGATGTGTTTTTGTCCGCCCGCAGTTGGGTCTATAGGCTTTCAAAATTGGGGTTGAAGGCCATCTAACTTCATGTTCAGGCTTCAGGCATTCGGATTCAGATGGATTTGGGTTAAAGGTTTAGGGCACTGACTATGGAAAGTTTAGACGTTCGCAGTAAGGTTCCCAGTCCAGGGGTCAGAGGTAGGGGCCTGGAACTGGCGTATAGTAAATGCAAACTTTGGACATCAGCAAAGGCGTCTATCAGGCCGTAAAGGTTTTGCATCCAATGCTCATACGCGACCGCCAAAGCCCACCATCTTCCTGCTCCGGATTCCGCTCACTGACTCACTCCTCCACTGCCGCCCTTCTCCCACAGCTAGGGTTATAAGTTAGCATCATTTCAAACCCATGTTCTATTGGATTGCTGACACCAGGGCCCAGGGCACGGTTATTATTTAAAACAGATCGCGTATCATATGATGGGGACCATAACGTATACTCGGATATGTCACAACGTATCCTCGGATCGTCAGCCGCTATCAGGACAAGCGCTTTGCGAACGTAAACGGCCGTTTTACGATCGTAAAACGCTTGTCCCGATTGCGATCAACGTATCCAAATGCGTAAAAGTGGATAATACATATATGTATACGTATTACTGAAAGGGGTTGTACGTTATACGGTAGCCTCATGATTCCATTTGCAGGCATTCACGATTTGAGGATTGTGGCTTGGGCTGAAGCAATTCAGGGTTTGGAGTCAGGGACTCGTTCCTCAGGCCTATTACTTAATGTCAAACCCTTAACCCTAAACCCTAAAACATTCTTTTCCTCAGGCCTATTATTTAATGTCAAACCCCAAACCCTAAACCCTAAAAGATTTGGAGCACCACATCCAGTTCCTAAAACCCTTAATCCGAAGCGCTAGACACTACTCTTGACCCTTTAAAATCCGGAATCATCATCCCAGCATACTCCAGCAAGATCCGAATCCTTGAGTTGAACCTTCTACCGGGATTCCCAAACCCTAAGCCGGGATCCCTAAACCCTAAACCCGAATCTCTGAACTGAACCCTACTCTCTTGAGCGCCTCAAGATGCCTTTACAGTTGGCCTCAATTTCTGAACCATGCTAAGCCCTAAACCACCCTAAACCTAAATCGCCAAACTCTGAATCCGCACCCCTGAGCTTTAAGCCTAAGACCCTTTTCATTGAAATCTAAACCCCAGACATTAATCCCTGAACCCTCGAAAACCCCAGGTTCGAATCGAACCAAAAGTAGCCAAACTTAAGGCTTTGGGATTTTGGGCTTAAACCCCTAAGATTTGGCCAAATCAAGCTTCAGAAACCTATCAATAGCCAGGGACAGGGCCATGGGCATACCCACGAAACAGCCGAGGAACGGGAAGAATGGAGATAAATTCTCCAGCTGAACCTCCACGGGCCCGGAAAACCAGCAGCTCAAATTCAAAGCTACAAAACTGTTAGTATTATTACTACTACTATTATTGTTACTTTCTACGTAGTAGTCGTAGTGTTACTATTATTTTTATTCTTTGTAGTAGTAGTGCTCTGGCAGCAGCTAGCGTGCCTTGGTAGATCCAATGCCGATGATCATAAACACAATCACCAGCTTGCCTGTAGTGAGCTGACCAAGCAATCAATTACTTCAGGTGAACTGCTGCTACATGACGTGACTTACTTTGTGACCTTCACTCGAGTGATGATTTGTGTTGGGGATGCCTTGCTGCCGCCCAGGTGCTGAGCACCAGCAAGCCATTCACACGCTTTAATCCGTTTTCCACACCAACAGATAAGATGCCTGAGAAAAATGTGTGGTGCAGAACAAAATTGCATGGCATGTATTGCAAGTTGCACTCCCTGCTTTAGGTAAGCTGCCCGTCAGCACACCCACCAAAGCTAGCGAAAAGACCTACCAGCAAGCAAAAACTGCCGTGAAATGAGCTCCCAAAACGCATTCACGGTCTTAAAGGCCTGCGTGCTCGGCAACCAAATCGAAGGAAGCATCATGAGAAGCCTGAGTGCTACCCGGCTTTACTGCATCTGTTCCTTTGCCACAAGACCCCTGCAAGCCTGAGATAATTTTGCGTTAGACATAGCGTTGTGAAAAGCACGTCAAGCGGTGGAGCAATTTGGCGCAGCATGACGGCTCGGAAGCTCCCGCATTGGCCAAACATCTCAAATCAGGCCGCGGAATAATGTCACATTGCACCTCCATGCAGCCTGGCAACGTTTTGCGGAAGTAGGAAGCGCACGAGGACACTGCGATTGCAGCACCAACGTGATAATCCACCAGCACATTCCTGAACAAAATGGCTTTAGAGCACGTGGCCAGTCACTGGAGCTCACGCTGCAAGCCAAGTGGCAGTCCAAACAAAACGGCGAAGATTTCACCAAAGGCCACGTATGCATACAAGTACACAGAACCGGACCTGTGGAAGCAGAGGTTGCAACCATCCATTGCTCTAACCCCCTTGTCATAACCTCCACTTATCAAGGGCTGCCGGGCAACACCGGAATGCGCGCAGCCAACTCCGCGTAACACAATGCGCTAAAGATACCTGACTTGCACGCTCTAAATCCAAACACAACATGTCCTGCAGGAGACACACAGTCCCAAGTGACTAGTGTGCACCATTGCTAACCAAGGAGCAGCTTATCGCAGCCATGAGAAAAGAACAGCCTCCAAACGTTGTGAACACCACTTTGAAACTGGGGCAGTGGAGGACGCAACAAAGCTTGCAAGTTCAACGGATAACCTCATGACATCAAAGTGCTGGAAAGTCTCATACACCCGGCCCTGTTGGCTTGGCAGCGATGCCAGTGATGACGAATATGCCTGACGTGAGTCCCACTGCAACCGCAAACACGGAGCTGAAAAGATTCCGCCTGAGCCAATGCTTGCTCCAATTCCTGAGAAACCAAAACCACGACAGGCCGAGCACATTCAAACCGCATGCAAAAAGCGGACATGTGCAATAAAGGTTCCTATCATAGTCAGATCCAAACTTGTCAAGCGCCGCCGCAGCGAGCTTGCTTCACTCCTCGGCGCACGGATGTGCAGCTCTTAGTAAACTGCCATGCAACTTGCAGGGACATGTCACCTCTAAATTTCGGCATGTCGTTGGTACCGCAACTTGTTTTTCCGTGCCAGTTGCGGCAAGGTTATAGGGAGTCTTGGCGGGGTCTATACAGCAACCCTCAGAGGCGCTCGCCTTTGGCGAAGAAACCTCCCGGGTTGAGCGGCCCACCGTGCCCGGTCAAGGGCTGCACTGTCGACAACCCAAGCTCCGCGCGACGGCACTGTCTGCTCGCCTCTGCGGCCAGTGCAAGCTTGGTATGGGTTTGCCACGTCCCTGGCGGAGCTGTGGCCAGTTCCGAAGAACCAAAATCAGTAATTCGATTTATTCTAAGGCCGTAGTGGCCCAATGAAAATGATGCAGGTAAATGAAAAACTGAAAGCCTTGAGCTTTACTAGCTACATGTGAGGCCGCAGCAGCTGCGACGGCTCAGATCTCCACCTCCACCTTCTCGCTCTCGGGCTTCTCGAGGTTCATAAGGTCCGGCTTCTCTGTGCTCAACACCTCGCCATCCTCGTCTTCATCCGGCAGGCTGTCAAGGAGCTGCAGCTCCTCCTCGGTGAACATCCAGCGCAGGCCCTTCCTGATGATGGCCAGGGAGGCCATGAAGAAGGGGAAAACCACGCTCGTTTCCTTGATTGCTTTCAAGCCATAGAGGATCGCCAAGCAGATCAGCTGCACAAAGGTGTAAAGGTGGACGCGGCTGATGGGCAGCTTCCAGATGTAGTGGTACTGAGGGTACTTGGCCGAGTCCCAGATGAGCCACAGGAAGAGGCGCTCGAAGTTGTTGCCGGTGAGGGAGGCGATGCCCATGTAGAAGAAGANNCGGCCCGCGGCAGGAACTTCAGCACAGGGGCCAAGAATAGTGCACATCCGATCAGCACCTTTGTTGTCCTTTATGCCCTTTGAAGATTATTTGCTATTATGGTTCTCTACAACATACTGAGGGAAATAAAAAAGATCCCAAAGGACAACCCAGGCACATGGATCAAGAAGTTGGTCGCGCGCTGCTCCACCACCTTGGTCGGGACCTTATGCTCCCCCTCAGGCAGCTGCTTCACCTCGTACGTGGTCAGGGAGATCACGTGCGTGATGCTGGGCACGGTGGAAGCCACAGACAGTGGCAAGCCCAGAACAGCGCAGACGGGGAGAGTCAGTGCTCCGCGCACGAAGAGGTCCAAATGGTACCCTGGCGAAAAAATTTCTGGCGAATCACAGGGTGCCGTGCCCTAGTGACTCCTTGACGGCAATCAGGCCGTCCACCACCAAGACCT